TCCAAAGAGATTCAGCCTCCAGGAGCCTCTGACAATCCTGCCGAGGGCACCGATCCAGCACGGGCCGCACTAGCCAGGTGGAGTTCAGCCGCTGCCTCTGGCCAGAGAGCAGAGCGCCATGCAGGGTCGCTCCCCAAGTGATGGTGAAAGGGCGAGGCCGCCGCAGCCTCGTTTGGCTGCATGTTTTCTTTTGCGGCTTGATAGCGTTCTAGACACCGTTGGCTTGGCCTCGCTCGGTAGAACAGCCGACGCCATCCTCACCGGTCCCAGAGCCAGCGAGGGAGCAGCTGAGATGCACAAGGGATCCTCCCTACTCGCGGAGCGGGGACAAGCCAGCCATGTCCCCTGGAGCACAGGCTGGCAACAGTGGCGGTGGGTGGGCTCCAGCAGCTATTAGCACGTTTAGTAGGAGGCCACCAATGGCTGCTGAGAGCGGGTCTAGATAACCCAGCCCCGGCATTGCACCTGCACTCTGCTGTCATTGCTGCCAGCCCTAGGAATTCTCAGCAATTTCCTCGCGGCCACGCGGCCCGAGTGTACGTGCGCTCACAGTGTGATCGGAAGGTTCCCGGGTCTGACACGGATCCAAAACCACGTTTAAAAATGGAGTTGGTGCCAATGTATGTACATTGCATGGTCAGCTAACTACACAAGCTCTGACTACATCAGCATTCCTGTCCCAGGACGCTCCCAGTGTGGCTGCACCTTTGTAATTGCTTTACGCCGTTACAGCTCCCTCCCCGGGGACGGGAACACGCTAAACCAGTACAAGGCACCTTACAACTGCATTGGTAAAAACCACCCCGACACAGTAATGCCAGCACAGCCAGGCCTATGGACGTACACTGGAAACTCAGCTGATTCCAGCTTCAACAGACGCAAAGCCAAGTGCTGCAAGGCACCATCTGATCGGATTGCTTGGAGACGTGTGATTTTTGGATGCCTCAGTTATCAAGTCTCAGAGGAGCAGCTGTGGGTTTTGCCCGTGAAAGCTGGCGGTACTATAGATATGAATGTATCTTTGGTTAGTCTCAAAGGCTGTGTCTCAACTGCACCCCTCTGGCGGCACAGGGATGTAAATTAGACACATCGGAAGCGCAAATGAAGCGGGGATTTGAATATCCCGTGCTTCATTTGCATAATTTCATTCGGACGCTGTTTCGCACAAGCGCCATTTCGAAACTGAAACGGCGGCTTAGATGCGGTTCTGCCGACAGCGGGGTGATTGACAGATCCTGTACTCCTCGTGTCGAAATCACCCCGCTGTCGGCAGAACCGTGTCTAAGCCGCCGTTTCAGTTTCGAAATGGCGCTTGTGCAAAACAGCACCTGAATGTGATTATGCAAATGAAGCACGGGATATTTAAATCCCTACTTAATTTGCGCTTCCGATGTGTCTAATTTACATTCCTCTGCCGCCAGAGGGGTGCAGGTAGAATGTAGCCTTAGGTGCCCCAGGACCGCTCGCTGCTTTCAATGATCAGGTGCCCTTAGGGTTAGGCACCCAAAAGTCACTTGTCACTTCTGAAGTGGAAGCCTTTTCTGTGGGAGCTAGCTGTCTTCTCCCCAGTCAAAACTTGCAATGGCAGCAAGAGACTGCAAGCTGGGGACCTGCTGTTGCAGCTGCGATTTCAGGCCTGGCCGAGGAGAGCTAAGCCACAAACCCCTAACTGATGGGACGTGTCTGCAGGGAGTTTCCTAAAACACACTTTTGGGGGGCGGGGGGGGTTAAAAAAAGATCGCATGCACAGGTGAAAACAAACCGAGCCGAGAGCCACTGTGGGTGCGTTTCCCCATCTCGGGAGCCAGGGCGCTAAGTGTTTATTCCCCAGTGGTAACGCGGTGGGTCAGGGTGGTAAACAGGCAGGATTACTTTGTAGTATTTTTTAAATCTAATGGTGTTAATTTTAGGAATTGGAGTGTCCTGCCTGCCATCTCGCCATATTCCTGCTCAGGTAGCTTGCTCCATAAATAGGACCCCAATGCAAGTGTAGCATCTTGCTTCTGGGCCCTCTGTGCTTTTCCAAAACAGCTAGTTCGGTGCATGTACGTGGACTTAGGAGCTGAATTTTAAGCACTCTGTTAAAATCAAAGTTTCAGATAAATCTCTAACCCTTCCTTTCCCCTCTTGCTGAGTGCTGTGGGAAAGGAAGAGGGTAGCTGCTTGGCTAATGCATGTGTTGCCTTAAACGGCGGCCACCACTAACATAGGGCAGGCATGAGCTGTAAAATATTTTAGCCAGAGGCAAACGAAATCCAAATCTTCCAACATTCCTGTTTGCTGAGCACATTGGGAGAGCTGTGTATGAAAAGTCTGAGACATGCCGACGCCATTTGGATGCCATGTTACATGTGGAAAAATGTTTTTTCATCCTCCAGCCCCCAAATTAACATGGTGGGTGGCTGTTTGAAAATGACCCAGACGTTGACTCTGATGTGAGCGTTGTCATCTTACTGATACTGTGTGTGTGTGTGT